ACAATACTGATTATCAGTTTATTCCAAGTAATTTTTGCATGTACAGATCATGAAGAGTTTTGGTCTTACAGAAAATGTATTGACTTACGAAAAAATGTTTAAAATTTAACTTAAACGTCTTCAAGCTTCTATCTTTTTCTGTTTTTTACTTCTTCATTTTATCTTTGGATACCAAACAAGGTATTTTCAACATTGTCTGATCAGCCTTCAGTAAAATAAGTGGGTTTTTACCCTCTGGTTACCCCCCAAAGACGCAAAGGATTATGGGGATGTGAAAGTCGAGAATAAGAGATAGTTCATTACTTTTAATTAAGTAAAAACTTTCTAGTTAGTAGATTCGTTTTCCAACTTCCATTCCCCACACAAACACTTATAACAAAGGAAGCCCAATAGTGACGTTTCTTACCGCAACTTATAAACATAAATTGAATGCTTGGCGCCAACTCCTTTATAACAATTTTCCGCTGCACCATACTTCATGTATGTATTCTCCGCGCCAAGTCCTGTCCAGCACTCCCCGTAGAACTGAACACCAAACACTTTGTACTCAGGGTAGTATTTATGGACATAGTTTGCGCATGCGTCAATTGTTTTATTGAGGTTTGACCAATCGATTGAGTCTCGGAGGTTGATGACCAGATTTGGCATTGCGTTTGGTTTATCGTCCTTGTAGCAACCAAGTGGCTGGTAGATCGATGGTGTTACCGAAATTGTTGGGGAAACTGAAAAGAAAATGAAAGATATTATGAAATGTGGAGAAGAGGAATAGAAAGAAAAGGAAAGGAAAGGAAAGGAAAGGGAAAGGGAAAGAGAAGAAAAGAGAAGAAAGAGAATTGCTGTCAGGTCCGCTGTCAGTCTATACAACACCTAATCGTCTGCGGTTATCTACATGTCACAATGGAATACATTTTTTTTTGAAAGCACATATCTCTCTTGGTAGACGCGGTTCCGAAATTTAGCGTATAAGTAATTTAGAGATTGTAAAATGACCTTTACCTGTGGGGCAAGGTGGAAGTTGTTCACAGGGTTTGACGGTGGGAGTTTTAAGGCGAGGAATGTCATTACACATGAGATGATGAAGTTGAATCACGTCTCCTTCGCTGGTACGTCGCATGCACGTCAGTTTCCTTGTCATGGCACCTACACCACAAGTCGTAGAACACTAAAAAATAACAAAGTGTGTATAAAGTCTTCAACTTAGCAGAGCAGAGCAGGGCGTCTTTACCTTAGACCATGGCGTAGGAACCCATTCCAGTGGACATCCTACTTTGTTACAGTCTTTTCGTAAGTCACCGGTAGGTTTCTCCCCAGAACACGAAGAGTCTGGTAATGTCTTGTACTTTTGTTTAGAAATTTCCTGTCTGCAAATGATCTCACGGGTCTGAAGTCCTTTACCACAGGTTTTGGAGCAAGGCGACCAATTAGATTTGTACCAGCTACACGAAAAAAAAGGCATCAAGTGGATAATTTGAATTTTTCCAGATTTATATAAAATTCATTGCCGTTACTATTACTGTTACTATCGCGCTAAGGGTTACGAGATCCAAACCAAAATTATAGAACCTGTAGATAAACTAGTCAATTATTTACACGCCTTGTGCATGCGCGCGCAGTCTAGCTTGAAGAATTAGAAAACGCGCACGCGTGTTGTGTGCATTTATAAAGCACAAGGAGATTGCATATCCACATGTTTTTCATAATTGCAAGCAGCACAGCAAGCAAGATTTTGATTTCTTTATAAAATATACACAATATAGAATTTGCCGTTATTCTGGAAAGAAATGATGAAATAGAATTGCGCACGCTTTCTGTTTGTTCTTACGAAACACGCGCGCCCAACCAAGCATAAGGCGAGATTTATAAAATTGTGTAAATGCATATAAACCGGCACCTTTGAGGGCACGCCTGTTGGTTGCACACTTGAACTGCCGCTGGCATCCTGGCATTACTTTCACAAACATAGGTACCAAGGTGGGATTTGTCGTCTTTGCGCACACACTCTACGGCTCTTACTTGTGTTCCTGGTGATAGAAAACCTTATCTTTAGTTATGAAGCATAACGCTAATAAAGTCTACAATTTTCTACATTGAAAATGTTGCCACTTTGGGCTTTGTTGTTGGTTGGTGTTATTTAATGATGTCGCTGTTTCATGACATGGTCAAATAACACAAACATTTCAAGGGCACGTGCCTATGGAATATAGTACGTGGAAGCGCCTTGATTGACGTCCACAAAAACCTATACTTCGTCGCGACGACGATTTCGGGGCTGCTGCCATTGAGAACAAACGTAATTTGAAATCAATAAAATGGAAAAGCGACGAAAAGAATTGATATGAAATGTAGAAACAAAAATAAAAATCCCGCAGAAACAACAAATACGTTGAAGACTATGTAAGATAACAAAAGAATGAAGCAAAGCATACCTCCAGCACAAGTCCTAGTACAAGAACTCCACTCAGCTGTTTTCCATTCTGCATCACTTGGCAGCACGACCGTCGTCATGTTCTTTAAGAACATTGAGTACTCAACACCACTGTTTGGCTTGTTGTATAAAGGAATATTCTGAAAGAGGAAATACGTAAGTATTGTATACCATTTTGTGCCAGAAGCGCAGCAAGGTCTTGGTCATACTAAACCCGCTTGGGTGTAATGTTTTCCCATTTCATATTGAAATAATATTGAAATTATTTAGTGAAGGTTAAATCCTGCTAAACCAGCTTACCACTATAGATAGGGCTATTGTAGTAGGGCCTGGGATGAACACTCTGTCTCTTGGCTCTTGGTAGTAATAATACACTCTGGTTCCTTTGAAGTCTACCACAGTCGTCGGTGAAGGAAAATGAGGTGTAATAATTTGACCATTTCCATCTCTTATAGCTGGAAGCGTTCGAAATAAAACACTATTATTAGAAAACAGGCACCTGGTCAAAGTAATTACTACTGAGCTTCCTGTGGCGAGGAATGTGACGAAGACTGGGGAGAGGTAACTTTTGAGGTTAAGCCCTACCCCCCTCCAACAGTGTTCGTCATGGCGCTGCAAGGTAATAAGTTTTAAAAAAGAGGAAGGTTAATGGCTTCAGCAACAACCTTTGCAAGTTCCAATTTAAAAGTCATCTCTTCTTCGCATCCCCTACACGTGTTACCATCTCTCTCATACACGCCTATCAGCCTAGTAATAAATCGTTCTTGTACTTTAGAATATAGTATTAGTTGCTGTGACCGTATGGTATGCTTACCTAGGATAGCATTACCATCTGCAAGTTTCTTCTCGACGTTTACATTTGTTGCGCCAACTGGGACGCTTATTACTGTGCATTCATGGTCAGGACCTGGGCATAAATGAATCATAGTTATCATTATTATATTCCCTGTATTATACCTTGTAAAATCTATTAGGCTTTGATTTGGCTGTTGTATCACAGCGTGGTACATTCAAAGCAGACCCGGGCGAATTGGAAATTTAGAAGTTGATTTTTTAGAAAAGGAGATATGAATACCGGGAAGGAAAACCCCGAAGCACAGGAGAGAGCCAACCAGTAATTCTACTCACATACAACACCGAGCCAAGGAATGAAATAGAACCCGGGTTGCCGCATTGGTGAGAGGTGACGCATTATCATCATATATATAGCGAGCCCGGCTGAAACTATGTGTAACATTGACCAGAGGTGTTGATGCTTGCACACTAGCATTTCTCACACCGAGGCATGCTATTGTATTTGATCACGTTTGCCTGCTAATTCCTCTGCTTTGCTAAACGCATTATTTCTGGGCTCTAGGGCTTATCTCCCTTCTTTCGGGTCCGCATTTATTGGGTTATGATTTCGCAAATGTTCATGCTGCCATCGAACAATTGCAACATCGCAGAAGCTTATGAATCGGGGAGTTATTCATTGTTTTGATGTCTTTCGCTTTGAGCCACGCATGGCATATATACGTACCATGGCCTATACAAGGAGCGTCGAACAACCCAATAAGTTTACCACAGGACGAGCTATCTCCATCACAGACGTGACATCGATCATACTTGATACCTATGTCAAGGCTTTCGTCACATGCGGCAACCTGAGAAAAGGTATATTGATATATCATAACATACGTTAATGTAGTTGGCTGTTTGAGAAGAGAAGAGAAGAGAAGAAAAGGTGATGTATCGTCGATCGCCAGACTTACTCTACAACGTCCCTTGATACACACACTTTTGTCGGTATGATCATTATAGCAGCGAGTTCCATCTTTAACGACTCCCTTGTTCCATATATAGTGACCAATTTTACATTTCAAAATGCAAGGCTCTTTAATAGAAAATATAGACTCAATATACAATTGTTGTATTCTAATCAATTTATCCGATTCACTCACCCAGCAAGCCCACTTTCTGTTGGCTTATTGATTCATTTATCAAATCCAACCACCCTCCTTCCCTCGCTCCCTCGCTCCGTCCCTTCCTTCCTCACTCCGTCCGTTCCCCTGTCTCTCCGTCCCTTTTACTAACCCTTGTCATAGTAATGTACTCCATCAAACTTAGGATCGATGGCTTTACACTGCTCTAGTCTATAATCCATCGTGCCCTGGGGACAGTCCTGTGGATGTGAGATAATAATGTTCATTCATAACAAATATCATGTCTCTGAAAACAAAATTTTTTTCTTCAATTCAAGTAAAATATTTTCAAATATTTTTCAAAGAATGAGGCATCACTTAGATATCTTTTCATGACGGACATATATCTACATCGTATAAGAGATTCATGGTGAAAGAGCCAACTAACCTGCGTGTTGCAGAGTTTCCATCTTCCTTCGGCTGACCCTGGACAATCTTTCCCGCCATTTTTTGGACTATTGAGTTCAGAAATAAAGAATTAATAGTAAATTGTAAGTCATATATAGATCTCAGCTCTCTTGATTGGTAAGATTGCTGAATGTTTGCGGGTGGTCGGGTGGTCGGGTGGTCGGGTGGTCGGGTGGTCGGGTGGTCGGGTGGTCGGGTGGTCGGGTGGTTTTCCAGTGCAGATTTATTCTAACCTTGGGTTAGTACATGTCCTAGTTCTCCATTGTAACCCAATACCACATTCTTTAGAACAACGTGTGTAAGTAGCTGACCATCCAGACCACATCCCATCGATTATTGGTGAACCGTTATCTTCACATATTCCCTTGATACACCACTGTGGAAAAAAAAGATCTTAATTTAGTGTGGACACACTAACCGGGACCACTTGAATAAAACTGACCTATCAGATAACAGTAAAGTAGATAGAGATTGAACTAATAACAGTGTTAGCCAATCAGATTATCACTCTTATTATATCGATGCGTTATCTGATTGGCTGGTTAAAAATATCGAACTAAATGTCGCAATATGATTGGTTAATGATACTAGTTTATCAAAGTTGTCCCGGTTGAAGTAAAGGTGTTTTAATTGTTTTGTCAGATGCATAAATTCTAAAGTAATAACCAAAAAGTACCAACTCAAAATTGACCAAAGAATTAGGTCAATAAATTAAATATGTATAAACTAAGACACTGCAACGTACGTGTCGTGGACCGCATGCTGTCCCATCAACAGGAGGAATCCTCATGTGCTCGCAATAGGGACCACTTTTAGAATGGGAACACCACAAGGAAGAACATTCATTTGATTTCTGAAAAAAAGAGATGTGATATATCCATGTTTCAATTGTATTAGTATATATACTTTTAGAGCAGTTAGAAAGAGGGTGCCAATGGGGGTATACCTATATAGCTTGGTTTTGCATTGAAGCGAGACGAACGGTGAGCTTGCAATGATAAAGAATATTTATCCAAGGTGTTAAAAAAGGTCTCTATCATTGAAAGCTCCGTTCGTCTCGCTTCGATGCAAGGCACGGCTACCTTTCAAGATGGCGCAGGGAACTGTGCAGGGGACTATTCTATTTATCGAGATCTAACTTACCATAGGACAAGCGAAGTATCTTGTGTTAAACATCATTTTACACTGTATATCTCTGTCTAGTGCATCCCCTGGCAGCTTGTTGATATACTTTACTGCATAATGTGATTCCACGGACCTATCTGGCTCATCATCGAGACAACTCGAGTCTGAACTCCTGTGACGTTAAAGCAACAAGGCATGTTTCTTAAGGACTGCTGCGAATGGTTTTATCCAATAGGAAATATCCTTATGATGCAATGTTTTCTCATTTCAGACCACGTTCCATTCCCTAGAGTATCATTTCTTTGTTTAACGGTCGCGTATGAGAATCCAAATGAATATGGATTCCAATAAAACAAAGAGTCTTATTCTAAAGGGAACAACGCGAGACGTAAGGAGAAAAGTTAACATTTTACTACAGCGAACTATGTCTAATTTCCTCAACCAAATCTTCAAAAAGTGTGACGGGCCGCGACATCGGAAAATGCGAATAAATAGTACACACCTTAGGAAAGCCTGTATTTTTTCCTTGCTGCACACGGACCATTTGTAAGCGTCTGGACCAGACGCACTTGCATACGACATGATGTACTTATGGCCAGGACACAAAGGATTTTGCATTTCACCGTCATGTAAGACTCCAAACCTTAAGAATTGAAAGCAATAAATTACCATTGATTATATATTAACATAGCCTTTATTTGTATCATTGCATTGGCCCCTTAGGTTGGTGTAGAGGTAATATATGCAGTCGCGTCCCACCTTTAGGGTCCTGTATTCGATTCCTTGATTCAGTTTCCATGTCAAGTCATTAGACTAGTAGCGGTTTACAATTTTTAGCGAAAAGTTACGATGTTACATGACAATTGGATTCTTGCTTAATTTTGTATCAACACGATGATATTGACATTGCAACAATGGATTTCCCTCAGCCTAAAATATTTCAATCTGTCGTGTTTGTCTTTCCACTGCACAGAATACGAACGTGATTCTGGCATTTAATCCGTGCCTGGCAGTCTATAATCATAAGAAATTTTTCGACATCTGGTACCTGTATGACAGATTGCTAGTCTCGACTCTCGACCTGGTACTTCTCGGCACCCGACCCTCGACCCCACTCAAAAAAAGAAAAAAGAAAAAAAAAAAAAAAGAAAGGCAGACTCGTATCGCGCTGAAAGCACTCAAGGACGGAGAAGCACTCATCTAATAAGTAGCACTTCTTTCGTGCTTACATCATCCCATCGTGCTTTACTACTGAACGAAGCCAGCACGTAAAAATCTGTTATAATGGTTAAATGTACGAAGGTATACATGTCTTACGTATGAGCTGTTTCATGGGCCACAATGGCTCCAGTAGCAGGACCAATATCACCAACAGCAGCTTTCCCAAAGGTATAAAAACACGTTGAAGAGGATAAGGCACGACCTTTATGACAAAAAACAAAGAGATTTACACGTATTTATCAGTATGATTATTCTACTTTATTGAAATAACTCATTAGTATTTCGTGTTCCGATTTGTATTGTACACTCAATTCCAAAATTAAGGTCTTCTTGAAAATGACAATGGTTATCCTTTGATGCATTCATTTGAGATACAACGCAGTCCATGCTTTCTGTTTTGTACAACAATCTACGAACATTTCATGAGTTGTATCGCTTGATACATTTATAAACGTACTTCCCATGATCTCAATGGTCTTAGACGCTTTGGGCTTCCTTTATCAAACGCCAGGTTTCTAAGCTAAATCCAAGATGGAGGACAATATCAAGTGTTTTTCATTTTTGCTATAATATTTGGATGTTTTGATTCATATTTTCGACATTTGAAAGCTTCAAATGGCAGAAAATAACCAAAAAGAGGCTCTATGTTCACTTCCAGACCTTTTAATTAAGGTAAGATTACCAAATATGAGTTGCCAATTCAAGCGAACCAATTTTCTGAATGATTTGGGAGTTGTATATAATTAGACAAGTATAATATGTAAAAAAGTGTTAACCCGAGGAACGAAATCCAAATTTTGGGTTTGTGTGAGACGTTAAGACGATGTTGAAGTCTACAATCAGTATTTCGACTTTATTCCGCCATGGTCTTGTAATGATAATGAATTATTACAAGTTGGCAAGAAGCAGTTTATAAGCTAATAGTAATTAATCGACAAAAGAAAGAACGAGAATAACTCTAATTCGCTAGAGGCTTTTCAACCCTCATTTATCGTTAGTATAAGGTTTTTGATATAATATCGATCAAGGCCAAAAGCCAACTAAGTAATCCAATGTTCATAAATGTCAACAATTAATCTTGAAGTTCTCATGCCCTTACGCTGGCGAAGAATTAAATTATGAAAATAAGCATTTTTGCAAAACAATCGCATCGCATGCCCGGCGAAAGTATCCCGGCGAGAGCCGCCCGGTTATCAGTCTGGGCACACATTTATTTGTACATATGCCACAAAACTGAAATACTTAGTTTCAAAAAGTTATATCTTCGTCTTTAGTTTTAAAAACCGTCTTAAGTTTACGAAACTTTGCAATTTTACTGTTATCACTTTAATTTTTTTAAATAGTAAACTGCTCCCTTTTTCCGATAAAAAAAACATAATATAATGTTAAGCTAGTGTGATGTAGATATATAGATACACTATATTTGCAGAAGGTCAGTAATAAAACGAGGGGGAAAAGGACCAAACAAGGATCCTGTACTCACCAGCAATGTTTTTAGAAATCAGGACCACGGTATCGGGGTGACCTGGGTCCGTGTCAAGAGTAGGAAGATTCTTTTGGCACCAATCACCTAATGCACCTAGTCTGGTCAGTGATGAAGCGCTGCTGTCATAACCGAGCTGTATAGGAAAGATACACAAGTGATATTACAGTAAATGAGAAATATTAGATGAGTTCACAGGCAGCCCTGTGAGAAGGAGCAGTTCAAAAGTTTAAGTTACCCAAACTATTATCATTATTACAGTCTGACCACATTAACCCTTCATTATCAGCATCATCATCATCAACGCCATCCTATCATCATCGTAATCAGTACCACTATCTGATAAATACCGACCACCACCATCATCACTGCACTATTACCAAACGATCAACACTACTATCTTTGTAATTATCGTGATCATCGCCATCATCATCATCATTACCATCATCATCTAAATCAAAACTATCATCATTACCATTATCATCTCTTTTCTCTTCACCATTCGGAGGTTGTCCAACTCGTCAAATGAAAAAGAAATCTTCTCTCTCATGCCATATTATTAGTCGGCCCCTCTTACAGTTATGAAATAAAATAAATAGGTAAGGCTTTTGTACTACTTACCCCATCTTTCTTCAAAACAACCCCAACAACAACAATATTGATCTTGATTGGTCCAATAGTGTGATCGAGATACAAACTACGGGCCTGGAACAAGAAATAAGATAATGATGTGATTTTGTAAATTAAAATAGCATGTATGCATAAGCGACGCCATTAAATGACTATCAAATTGCTAATTCTCCTTTTGTCGACCTAGCTGGCTAAGTGTTGATGTTGGAGCATTTACTCAGTGACCAGTATTATCATCAACATCAACAATTTCCGAGTCATTTTTGTTCATCATCGTTACAACTTCATTATCAATCATCATCAACAACATCATTATCATCATCATCGATGTCGTCATCGTGTAGCATTAACATTATCAGCATCAACTTTATTATCATCATCAACATCATCATCGTCGTCATCGTCGTCCTGTATCATCAACATTATCAGCAACAACAACTTTATTCAACGAAAACATTATCAACAACAACTTTATTATCATCATCCGAAATATCATCATCAGTTATCGTCTATTACTAATAAAAAAACGTCAAAACAGTACATCAACAAGTGCTTGTAATCTTACAATGTGTGCTATCATCAGCAGATGTTCTGCTGTCTCTTTCTCGTAGACATTGATGAGAAACTCATCAGCCACCAGGGTCATTTCTAAAACTTTGAATCCCGCCTCGGAGCTCTGGGAATGTTCGTCGTTCAACAAGTCTTGAAAATCTGTCAACAACAAAACGGAACAGGGTTGGGAAATCTGTTCATTGATGCTGAATAACGCGTACAACAGCTAAAAAGAAGTAGAAAAAGAAGAAGAGGGAAGAAAAGAAGAAGAAGAGAGATGATGTTTTGAGGAGACGTGAAAAAGGAGGTCGAACTAAGGAGAAGAGAAAAGAATTAAAGGAGGAGGGGGAGGGGGAGAGGAAGAAGGAGAAGGAGGAGGAGGAGAAGGAGGAGAAGGAGGAGGAGGAGGAGGAGGTGAATTAAATTACGCAATCTTAGCTTTCGAATAGTTGGAGCAAAAGTTTGAAACGTCTTAGTCTTACCAGTGATAGCTTTGTCTTTGGGTTGTCTGTATACCAGGTGAGGCTGTCCATCACCATTGTAACCATAAGCCCTTGCGAGACGTTCAGTTAATGGAGTAACAAAGAATGCTTTATCATTAAGGCTAATGAGTCCACTCTGAAGAGGAACACACAACAATTAATTGATATCTTTGAATTATCTACATGAACATCGAGTCTAGTTTAATTGCTACCCAAGCAAACAAGAAGCGGTTGATTTTATCTTATTTTCCCGTAGCATTTTTTCTTCGGATATGGATTGAGCAAAATATCAAAGATAGACCTCGCTTCAGAAACGTTTTCATGCAAGTCTCAGTATGATAAATCTATTGTTTAGTTTTTAAAAGTGTGTGTATTCCATGTTGGTGGACAGGTAACAAGACTTTGTCATTCATTTATTCCGCCTCCAACGTGGCAGCCTTAGTATTAATCTAGCCAATGAATGGAAACCAATAATTCTGTGTCCAGAATTTTTAGTACTGCCTTACGTTGGTACGTTCGCCTAAAAGGTACACTGAACTATCTCCAGCGTTCAACTGAAAGTATAAAATTTACCTACCAATCCATTGTTTTCCTTTAGAGCAACTCTAGATCCCGGATGTCCTTCCACGTGACCAGTATAGAGCTTGACATCATCAATGGTGGAGTCAACTCGCGATCCATCTTCTTCATACGAATGAACGACAAAATGTGGGGATTTGACACTTGGATCCAGTTCCAAGTTCAAGTCCATTGATGAACCAAATGCCTTCAGTTTGTATAATCTAGACGATTCTGAGCTCCGCTTGGCCCTTGGACTATCAACCGAGTAAGAATGGGCTATATCGTAATCTGGAACTAAAGGTGATCAAATACATTAATGACGCATTGCTAATGTGTACGTGTTTGAAGCAGTGATCCTTGGCCAGCCGTTCGACTTTAAGATCTGAAAAGAGTGAGTATATTTTATGCCCGTTGAAAATATTAGGACAAGAAAAAAGTGCTTAGATAATCTAATGTCCTGTTACTTTCCACAACCGTAAGATTAAATTTCTGATTGGCTCACAGATATCGTCAGTACGAGTACAGACAGCGATAGTGACGTCAACAAGTGCATGCTATTTTTTGTATGGTAAGTTTTTTCTCGGTAAGTTCGTTATGTTTCGCATATTCATCCTCACTGCATTCATTCAATTCTTACGAGATAAAAAAGAATCATGACGTCAATTTTTTAACCAACCACGGTACGAATCGTTGAAATCAGTTTTTATTCAATCAGAGCCTTCCACTGAAGCGCAAAAATGTACATAAATTATAGCTTAAAGTCGACAAAGTCTAGAAATTCTTTACCTTCTTGATGCGAGTTAACCCCGAAGAATTTTTGTAACTCTCTCTGTGTCATGTGTTGATGCAGATCCTAGGATATTAGAAGATATAAGAATGTAGAAAGGATGCTAATCGACGAAGAAAGATGCAACGCGCGATCTGATTGGTCAAAGAGCATTTTCTTTTCAGCGCTGAAAGAATCCCGTGCGTTTTAGTATATTTCCACTTTCAAAATGATATGACCAAAATATAATATTGATAATATAATAATAATACATATTATTCTGATGCGTTCAATTAGTTTAGATAATTATAAGTCCTTTTTGATGTCCTAAAAAGGAACGTTACAAACGTTTTCCTACGCGTACGACACGTTCATTGTTTTTGACCGTTAGGAAAGTTTATTTTACAGCCAACCAAATTATTGTTTTGATCGTAAGCGTTCCCCACTATGTACATTGTTCTATTTACAGTCTTACTTACCGGCTTTGTTTTCCCTTCCGTCTGACAAACACACACTATAAACAGAAAAAGACAAGCAAAGTTAGAAATGACTAATAAGCGATGCAAGAGCGAATGCTTTTCATAGTTTGATGATTGAGAGAGATTTTACCAGCTATAGATCGATATGTTGAAACGACAGGACACACTGCCAAATGATGCCAGCCAGGCTTCGATCAATATATTTTACTCTTTTTACCCGCTTTTTTTCTCATCAAAATTTACGTCAATTAAAGAAGATGAAAAAAATACGCGCGATTTGATTAGTGGATGAAATATGAAAAATTGCTTTTAGATCGTTGAGCTACACTAAGGCAGAGGCTAGATTGTTTATTATTTTGAGTATTACACTGAATCGAACAGTCTATATAGTAAAATAACTAACCGGAAAATATCCAACACCATGATAGCAATACTCGAGGCTGAATAAACATCCTGTTGGTAAAAGAAAAGTAAAATGGAAGAATTAAAACACGTAAAAGAATTAATACATTTAATTGACTATATGGTGTTAGTTCGGAGCTAAACGTTTTTCTTTTTTCATTTTCTATTTCTACCGCTCGATTTACTTTTAAATTCAATTGAATAATTCTGATCTTTAGTTATCGAAGAAAATCATGACGAGAATGTTGAATGTAAAAAAGAAAACAAGTATTTTTCAGTGACATGTCTATGAACAATGAGTGAGTAAACTATTGCAAAATACGTGAATAGTGATTTTTTAACTGGGGAGTATACTAGAATTCTGTCATAAAAAGAAAATTTTTTTTCGTTCAAATTAAAGTATCTCTTAACTGCATGTTCATGCTAAATTGCATTATTACTTTCATTGATATATATTAAAGCAGTTACTAGTTACGTACTTACGTATAATGAGATCTACTTTGAAGAGCATTCACAGAGTTGCGATATTTAACTCTTAATATATAAACGGGTAGGGGTGAAACAACTCAATACCAAACAATATTCCAATAAACATGGACTAGAGGAGATGATATTGGGCAGCACTGCTTTACTTCGCTAGTCGATTATTCCTAGCAATGAATCTGATCCTGTATCCAAGGAAGACTCCCTCACGTTCTGCCTTACAGTTACAAAGACATTGCAACCATCTTTACACCAAAAGACTAAGATGGTAGTTTGTTTACTGTTTTGCTTTTTAACACTGAAGTGTCAAGTCTTTGTGAAAATATCGCGGGAAATCGTGAATTGTTCGTTTTGGTCTTTGATGTGTTGAAGTGTTTCATCCCTTGTTTGTCAACAGCTGTGGAAACATTAGGCACGAGAGTCTTGCCTCTGTTTAAATATAAAACGCACTTGAAGTTCGGAATGACAATGGATATAATTCAGCGGACATAATGGCAAGAAAATAACGTATACGAATCAGAAAAATATATGCTAAAAATCGATTCTGTGGCTTTGATATTTCTTGCTTCCTTGTTTTCACCTTCAGGGTTTCACACGTAAGATACTTACTATAACCGTTCATAGTTCATTCTGAACATAGTTATTAACTATTAACTATGTTCTGAATCAAAACTAGCTACGTTTATTTCCTAAAAAATATTCAAAGCTTAGTTTCGATAAAGTGTTTTTAATTTCTTTTCGTAATAAAACGGGACTACCTTTACTTTTGATCTGTTTTCAGTTCCTCCTTACACTATCGAGCTCTCTCTTCCATGTATGTCTTTAAAGACGCCCGCTAATGATGATGATTAAGAATGTAAAACAATCATGTGAGATTTTTTTTTAGTATATATATCGTTTTCCTCTTAAGTAAGCCAAAACATAGACAACTTAGACTGATATCTGTGGGCGGGCAACCTGAATATAAAGTAGATACTTCGATGGTAAAAATCTTGGCACTCTGTCTTCTCGGTAATTTTTTCATGACGCTACTGACATTAATTTTTGATTGCTTTGCTTTTAAATATTAAAAACTGTAATGCAGTCTTTGTATATTACTACTACATATATTTATCTTTTTATAGAAATAAAACTTTCTTTTCTTTCTTATTTTCCTTTGGATTCCTATATAAACAATTAAACTTTTACTTCTTTTATGTAAATTAAGTAAAGCGTACTCGTAAGTAGCAAAGTTGCTCTGATTACTGAAAACTTCAACATTTCACAGTACGTACTGCAGTTCAAGCAAAATACTTAAAATAAAGAAAATCCTTTTACAATACTTCCACAAGTGACTCCTTTTGCAAATCTTCCTAGAAATGTTTTTTTTTCCAACATTTTTCCCCCGCCAATAATTAAAATTGAGCATGACTTTCCCAAGTTGGGGCAAACTTGTGTTCGTTCTCATGTATATACAATTAGTGATTTTCCTACTTTTGTGTGAGAATATTTCCTTTTTCCTTTATTTAGAACTAATATTAGGGGTAACATGTTGGATGAATTAAAACATAGGTAATAGAGGGGTTCCGCTCTATTAACAATGGTTAAGACTAAGTTGATGTGGTTATGGGTTTGGTCCCTGGACTCGCCATGCATCATATCTGAGTAGAATTGCTTGTTAGTGAAGCTCTCCAAATGCAACTTCAAGGGTTTTTTTCTCCAGTTACTCGGTCAGTTTTCCTCCAGTTACTCGGTCAGTTTTCCTCCCTCCGCAAAAACCAACTTCTAAATTCCAATTCCATTCGAATGAGGAGTGCATATATGCGGGACACAGGTTTGTCAGCCACTGGCTATTAAGTGCCACCCTTGTAAAACAAAGAACGCCTTTTGTTATTTAGCTAAGGGACGTGGACTTACCTTTTAACGGATTGTGTACAATGCCGTCCAGGGAATAACTTCTTTTAATTATTGCCTCTTATCTCAAAGTGCTAGTCCTGACCAAATCCTACCCTTACAGGTTCTATTGATTCATATTTATAGAGTTCTAAGTGTAGGGAAGTCCTTTATCAGGAAATGATGTCAACATATAGCTATTTGTTCGGATGCAGAACTATCACTCTTGTCGTCAACGGAATCAACAAAACGATACACTATCAGTTGATTTATTGACCTTCATTGACAAAAAGCAATCCATCGACAAAGAAGCATGGGAAACGTGTTCTGTTAGGTTAGGTGAAGCAGGAAGAATAATGATGGCGCCAACTGGATGAAAGACAAAAAGTCGTCAGTCGCCAAAGATGACGAACGTTATGGACGTCAGATGTTGGTGTTGATAACCTCTCGTAACTTTCTTATTTTTTCCGCGTTCCCAATCATTGCAGTCGTTTTTGACACCACGGGTATTTATACTTGCTGTTGTTGGTTTTAGTTTAGTTTAGTTTTTGTTTGTTTTTTTCTTTTGCATTTTTTGCACTTTTCCGCTTTTGTTTTTTGTGTTTCTTTGTTGTGTTTGTATTCTGTTTACTGAAGTTCTTACGCCTTTCCGACAAAATTGATCTTTGTTTTTGTCGTTACAGTAATCGGCCGCCTTTTTCACGCGGCAGCTTTAGTGGAAATGAGGGGTACATGTTTCTGTGGGCATGCAGCCGCTAGCCTCACAGTCCAGCACTTCAGGACAGTTTTTCTAGCCATAATCAAGGCGGTTTTTCTGCTAGTACCAGATATTTTCAAGGATATTTAGATACGCTATGTTATTAGAAGGTAAAGAACTGATAGGAACAGATAACGGTACGATTATAGATCAGATTATCAAATGATGTGTTATAACAGTGATTGGGAACATTACTCATATTCGAGGAATTTCCCAATATCAACGCAACCAGTTTCTTATCGGTCTCACAGCACGGTAATTACACAAGTCGTGTGATGATAGTCACATTCAGATGCTCTAATATAATGAATATTTCAAAGCAGACGGGACTTACTTGCTCCTGTTCATTCAAAATAAGATACAACAGGGAGAACGTCTTCCTTTCAAGGTTTCTCTCTACGCTCGCACACAGTTTGCAAAAAGTCAAACTACAACAGTGACGTCTTCTATCTTCAGTATACCATTAAACAAATGGAGCACAGCTTTTCTTTGCTACCTTAACTAAATAGTACGTACTGATTACTTAGTTCTGACTGTGTTCTGAGAGCACTCAAGAAAACTACACATTTTCTCTTCTTCGTTTCGGGGACGGAGATGCGAAAAACAAGAGAGCTTCTAAACTCTCTCTTTCATCTATTAAATGCATGGTTCTTACTTTCTTTTGATAAAGCCAAAAACATGGTTGCTCGAAATAAGCACAGTTGCATTTGAATGAATCACCATGATTAATATGAAACGAATTTGATGAAAAGGCGGGAAACCAGGAACGCGCTTGCCTCTGGTATAATACGGACCTAAAGAAATATATAAATTGGAATCTGATCAGTTATCATGAGTTCTCTGTGTTTGAAGAATTCATTTGTTAAAAGAGGCTGGATTTCAAATTGACAAATATAGCTAAATAAGTAAATTCAAACCCCAAATTAGACTTTTATTTTAAAAATAGGAAACTTTGAAATATCATATTTAGGCAATATAATTGTTAAATTTTTGAATACCTGGTGCTTTTAGGGCAAGGAATTTGAATTACTTTTGGCGGTAAAATAGCTAAAAACAGCGCGAAATTACGTCAAAGTGGTTGGTCTAGGTCAAAGTTCAAGCATGATATCTACTGCGCATGTCACGTTCATGTTTGTTGTAATCATTGTTGAGATTAAAGCCGATTTGGAAAATGTTTACCTGGAGCGAATTCTGTTGTGTTAAGGCTTATTGCAAACAAACTCCTACTTATAGAATATATCCTAACTGACCTTAATAGAAAGTAATGTTTGAAAGATTTAAAAAACAAGCTAAAATTTTGGCAAATTTCAGTTGATCAAACTTTTCCTTTTTTTTTAAATGATGAAACTCTTACGCATGAATTTTAACTTTGCAACATTAAACTCTTTTCTAAGCTAGAGCAAATACGTCATTCAGTTAAAAGACATGTTTGATGTTTATATTTTGCTATCTAGCTAATCCAAAACATAAACTTTATAACAGTCATGTGAAAAGACGTAAAATCAAAAGGGAAAAAGTCCTTGGAGCGCCGGAGGCTTGGAAGGAATATTGATATTATTGATGTTATAGAGTCTGATAAATAGTTTTAAGTCTTTGACCCTGTGTCATGCAGTCTGTGTACTTTAGCTGATTGCTGTCTCTCTGAATTCAAAAGAAAACCAACTGAAAATGTACACAATCTAATGAGGTTAAATACCATTGGTGTCTCTGAAGGTAAGTCAGAATAACCGTGTCTCTCAGGTAAGACGGATCAAGTCTCTTAAAGTGCATTAGCTAAAAGGTAAACTCCTGAAAAACGTTGACCAAAGTTTTTTATTGAAATCGGTTTTTCAATCCAGAGATTTTATTTTAGTTCAAATTATCAGAATTTATTATTTTTGGGCTTTTATTTATCTTAAGTTTAAGAAACTATGGAGAGAAAATTACTACAGAATTTAATACCAGTGATTTCACCAGTTCAATGATACAAAACCTAACTTATGTTAACCTATTGTAAACCAAAAATATAGATCCATGCATGGGTTCATTTATTACAAAAGTATGTATGATTTAGGGAACCTGTTTGGACTTCTAGGGAAGAGGCGAATTAACTTTTGGGACATTTAATTAGGGATAACTGACAAAATAATATTAGTGATAACTGATATATTAATTTTAATAATCCTGATTTAACTTTTAGGGATAATAATATTCCCAGTATTTTAGAGATAACAGATAACTGTTCTTGATAGAGATACATTATGATAGACCAGGGAGAAATTGAAGTACCCTAGCAAACCTCTGCGGCCTGATTTTTCTTTTGTCTTCAAAAGCAACAGGCCTAAACTTTTAGTTCGTATTCCTCGATTTCGTGAAGTGAAAGAAAAAACTGAGCCGGTCCTTTAATTTGTGGCAGCCAGAAAAAGTTAAAATAAGGAGATTAGAGAGGACAATATCAACAAAGATTTTCTTTAAAAACTTCGATGTGAACATGTAACTATGTACAAAAACGACACGTAAGGGACATGAAGCTGACACATTTCTTTACAGGCTTCTGCAAACACACATGTAGTTTGTTAAGTACATGAAATTCCTAAAGTTTGCAAATGTTTGAAATTGTTGCACTTTAAAACCTGACATAAAACCACTCTCGTTTGGCCAAAGAATTTTGAAACTCGTGAGTTCAGTATGCTTACCGTATAAATTCTATAAAACGATCTGTTGATTTATTTGAAGTTCATTTGAGTGTCAATCTGTAAAATTGTCGCGAAAGAAACACAACGCTTGATCGACGAAACAAATTTCTCTCATGTTTGCCTTTTCAAGCTTAAAAATAAAGCATTTTGATGAAGAGTTTGTGTCCACCATTTTCGCGCCATTTATTGGAATGGAAATTAATATAGGCGGGAAAACAGAAAGGTTACCGGAAATGACGTGCTGATGGTTCCGATTCTGAGAAAGCACTTTTCAATGCTACAATCAAATTTTCATGTCTTCGATCTATCTCTAGTGTGTATGGTATCTGTGTCAAGTTGATTGTTTGTCTTGGAAACATTCTGATCCATACAAAGATATGATAGCAACACGCTTTGTTTAACGTTATAGGGTTTCCAGTCCCTCGAGCAGCAACATGGCGATGCGCATACCATGGGTCCTAGTACTCTTGCTAGCTGTCTACATTCCTGGTAAGTTGCGGAGTTTTCAAAGTTTCTTTTTGCGATTGTCAAAGTTCACTTTGGATACCCACAACAACAAAAAACGACAACAACACACACACACAAAACAACAGTCAAGTGCAACTGCAAGGCTTTTGTCTTGCAATTTAATTCTCAAGTGCATTCGTTTCTAGATATAAATGCAACAGTTTCAAATCAAGTTATCTATTGTTTTTTGTTCTTCACCTGGCAGGGTCTTGTCCTCCCCCTCCCCCTTCCCCCGTAAGTAGACTTTTCTTTCTACTTTTCTCTCTATCAAAGAACTTTCAGCATTACTGCAGGACTTTTATGTCAACCCGTCGATTAGTTGTTTATCTTATCGGTATCCGACACTTGGCCAGAAGCGTTTTCAAACTTTTCTCTGATCGTTGGTTTGACTTTTGCCAACAAGTTTAGTCTTTTCCCAAGGCCAACCCACAGGATTTACTTGAGATTTAACTGATCACCAGTCTTGTCTTGTCTGCTTCGCTTCGTGGTTTCCTACGCTTCTTTCGTGATCTCTCGACATCCCAAGTGTTCTGATCAGAGTATTAAACCTGGAATAGTATTATATATTTCTTCAATTAGACTCAAGGACTCGGCAATGTCTGCTCTGCGGTTGGTCGTATTACTGCAATATCTGCCGCCGGCCAAAAATTGATCGCACTTAAGATAACTGAGAGAAGGTGCTATCTACCCTTTCATAATCTGTAAATGTAAATGTTTGGCTTTCAGCATGGCTCGCGGGGATAACAACGATATAAAGTAGCTGCCTGAGGTTTAATTAGAATCTCTCTTATCTATGTCCGCGCTTGTCACTCAGATCTTATATATAGGGTTTTCTAAAAGGCAGAGTAAAATAGTGGGTGGGGTTTGATTATTTTCAATGGAAATGTTAAATTTTAAGATAATTAAAACTTAGGTCACTATCTGGGAATGACAAACAAAACTTCTAGTACTGGATTACTCCAAGGTTCTTAGTTTATTGGGACTTGGAGTTTGTTAAAATCCAAGCCAGCTTAAAAATAGGCAGTAAATAGTTTCCAGATGAAGAACCTTGAGATATGATATACGTGTCTCTCTCTCTTAGTTGTGCTAATGGCCATAATGACTTCTTATTTTCAGTTGGCCAATCAAGAGAGAAGAAACACAAGGTAACGTTATATACCCATTACGAAATAGCAAGAAGAGTTAGAATAACTTACAGGCACTTATAAATGCGTTAATACCTCTAGCTAGAGATCATATTCCATATTTTATTCTGACCACTTGTGAGGGTTCCTTATCACTTTAAGTTATCTTTAAATATCTAGAAAAAATAAAATTTTTGACAGTCGACTTGCGACTCTAGTTTTGAACCTTGCTGAGTGAATTAAAAAAAAACAGCTCAGAATAACAATTTCTTTTTTCAGGTTAAGCATCACGTGCATGGTCGCATGACACGGAGCGAACTGGAGTGGTATTTTGGCGTATCATCTCCTCTCCAAGGTACTCGCTTATATTATGGACGGTCGGCTCAAAGGCAAATCCAGGAGGGGAAGGGAGGGGAGGAGGGGCTGAATTACAGCGTACCTTAGTCACGCCATTACCACAAGAGGCGTAAATTGATGTGAAAAAATCGCGTCTCAAATTGACGGAATTACAAGTAAACATACCAAGTGAAAGGTTATACAGATAAATGTTTTCAGTTATAAACACATTTTTATATTTGTGCAAAAGGGAGGAGGGGAGAGTGCCGATTAGATACAGTACAATTCTATTCATAAATAAGGTTTGTGCCCTAAAACTACGCAGTGATAGAGGTCGACGTCATCATCGTTGTCTGTACTTTTAATCAGTACAAGTATAATCAGAGTGAACTGGAAAAAAGCCAAATCAAAAAATGAAGTAATTAGATGAGAACATTATCTACTACATCCAAAATGACTAAAATATTCCTAAGTAAAAACATATGCATGGTTTTACAGTTTCAGATTACGAGATCGTCAGCCCTACGTTGTCGAAAGCGGACGGAAAAATTCGAAGCTACCGGCTGTTACCAGAAAGGCGTCAAGGAAGACCAGTAGAAGAAGTCCTGAACCAGGAATGGCACTATTCGATTCCTTTAAAACATCACACTCTGGTGTTGAAGGTCGTGCCTAGTGTTATGTTGACACATCGACCAGTTACCATAGAAACGCATCATTCAAATGGCACGACCACCAATGACACAATCCCATGGATGTCTCACTGTGTTGGTCACGTGGTCTCACAACCTGGATCTCTTGTTGCTATTAGCAACCATAATGGATTGGTGAGTTAATACTGGATTTATGAATCCTGACTGTTATCCTTTCCTTTTCTTTCCTTTCCTTTCCTTTCCTTTCCTTTCCTTTTTCCATTTCTTTTTTATTTTCGTTATACCGACGAGAATATAGCAGCTTAAACTCAATGCTGTTGTTAGCTGCACGTCCCTTAAGAGAAGTTTAGGCAGATACTGAATGGGACGAATGAGTAACTATAAATCATTTTGTCCAATTCCTGTATGCTTGATTCTGTCACTAGGATGGTCTCATAAGAACAAGTCACAACACATGGTACATTCGTCCACTGTCCCGTCGACTGGCCATGGTAAAAGGGCTGAAGAAAAGACGATGGGAAAGACCTCACATCGTAACGCGAGTCAGAAGGAATGTCCCAGAATTCCTGAAGGAAGAAAACGCTTTAGAAGCGAGCCTTGAGAAGAAGAACGAAGTCAAGAGGGAAGAGACGAAGCATAAATACATGGAAATGGCTATTGTTGCTGATGAGTATGCTATTTCAAGTATAGGAGAGAAACTGATTCCATATCATCTTATGATGCTGGCTCACTTGGTTAGTGTTTGGGAACTCGAAACTGGAGTACTAACCACCTACCTAAGTTTAAGTTCGACTCTTTAAATATATGATTTTTTTCGCAGACAAATGCAATGTTTATTGATGAGAGCATTGGAGAGAAAAAGATCACTGTTGTGATCATTAAAATGGTGCTTAAGAAAAACGGGGTAAGAAGTAGGTATACTTAAGAAATATAAAACGCGTGCGCATGTCTTTGCTTATAATGTGATATAACAACCTGCTGGGAGCTGTAGGGCATTAGAGAAGCAAGCTTAGGAACACGAGGAGTACCCGAGTGCCAAAAAAAAGAAACGGTTTTCTTGCTTCTAGAACTAGTGCTACTTGGATGAAAGATAGGCCGAAACAAGCGTGTGCAGTAAGTAGGGATCGAACTATGCACATTTTTGCTTTGTCTGCAGCGCACCTAAACTCACGTGCTACATTTAAAAAGACCAATTACAGAGTATTTTATACAACTACTTTTCTTACTAAATATTTTATAGGTATTGATTATATTGTTTACTTTCTAGTTTGGATATCGCAGGAAGGCAAGCAACAGAGACAAGCTTAATGCGATGAATTCCTGGGCAATTGAAACATTCCCCTTAGATGATAAAGATGGACGTCACCCTGATGTCGTGTCTCTGATCACTAAGTATGTATTGTACCTACTTGATTAGCATTGAATAACAAGAGGGAAAGGGTGGAAGGAAAGTTGGAAGGAAGTATAGATAGGTGGAGGAATGGGTGTGTGAGAGGATGCATGGTTGATAGAAGTAAAGAACAAACGAAAGAAAAAATAGCAGATGAAACAACGAAACCAAATGTCAAAATGTCAATAAAAATGTCTAATTTCGTCATTCATTTCACTGACAATCTCTCTCTGTTTGTTTTTTCTTATAGAGGTAACGGAGGAGGTACGTGTATTAACTGATATATATTTATATTTATATACGCGTATTTCAAAAAACGATGTCATCGCCAAAGGCGATAGGTCATTCCGACATGGAAATGGCTTCGTCGACTACAAACAACATTGAATCAGTCTCGGGTCCATGTTCTTGGCGAGAATGAGAAGCAGAAACACAAGTCGTTTCAGCTATTCTTGGATCTTGAAAAAACCTATCTTTTACCGCTTTTCGCCTATTGCCTATCGCCTTTGGCGATGACAACGTTTTCTTGCACAATAGGTGTTGTTGAATACTCTTTAAAAGTATACCAGATTTATTGCAATGTACTAATTGGTATCGATGACTAGGAATTGCAGAGTCTATATCAACTTGTCGCAAGAATGGGTTTGGCACGACTGTTTCTAATGACTTTGGACTGAGCACGTCACAAATCATTGTCCATGAGACTGCGCACACGTAAGTTGGATTAGGAATCTTACGATTTTTTAGAAATATTTTGATAACATTCAGTTGCAGTGAAAAATTATATAGATTTATGACTTTAAAAAAGTGACATCGTGATGAACTAGAAATATTTATATACGGAAGCTAGGTCAGGACGCACCACGGTAGGATAGGCTGAGGAGGAGCGCCAACAAAATATGCCTATGATAATAGTCTCCTTGACAATTCCACGCGCTATCTTGAAAGGTAGCCGTGCCTTTGCATCGAAGCGAGACGAACGGTGAGCTTGCAATGATAGAGATCTGTGAATAATTGTCCAAGGTGTTCAAAAAGGTGTCTATCATTGCAAGCTCACCGTTCGTCTCGCTTGGATGCAAAAGCACGGCTACCTTTCAAGATGGCGCAGGGAACTGTGAAGGGGACTATTGAATAATTGAAAACATTTCTTGATTTCTCTACTATTTTAGACTTGGGGTTGGACATGATGGCGACCTGGGCTGTAAAAATGGAGTCAATATCATGACAACTCAGGTTACAGGCGGAAAGGGTGCCCTGCGATGGTCGTCTTGCAGCCGTCGCCTCATACAACAATTTCTAAGGTACGTCAAGATCAAGAGAAATTATGTGGAACACGCATCAATGTAGTTTTTGGTAATTTTATTAAATGTCTTTGATTTTCAATTCAGTTTCTCAGTTGCCATTCTATGAAATGTTCAAAACCAATCCCAGCAACTAAGAAATTAATACCCCATTCACACCTAAACGTGTTTAGTTAAACTATGTTTTCATTAGGAAAAAAATTGAGAAACTAGAAACCTACAATATAATGAAGCTTGCTAAAATATTATCAGAGCAAGACAATGGATAGCTTACATGCAATATTTCACCAAATATTGTGCAGTGTTCATAGATAGTCTTCCAAACCTGTTTAGTTAAACCACTTTAAAACATGTTTAAGCTTTGGTGTGAATGGGCTATAAGTTTCCAAAAATGACATGCTGGTGATGCTTCCTTTCCCAGTAAAGCAGATTAAAGTCTTAAACGTCAGTAACTATCAAATACAAATCCAATATTCCACTTTAAAAGTTATCATAATATTTTGAATCTTAAGTTGTCTAACAAATAAGTAGGCAGATAGGTAGGCATGTAAGTAGGCCAGGACCCGGTTGTACGAAGCCTGGATAGCGCTATCCGGCAGATAAATCCTTATGCAGTGGATAAGTCGATGCTGTTATCCAATAAATTTATCCACTGGATAAGATTTGTCCGTTGGATAGCGCTATCCGGGCTTCATACAACCGGGCCCAGGTAAACAGAAAAACAGATAGACGGAAAAAAGGACGAGAAAAAGGAAACATATGACTGTACAGATAAAGCCAAACTAACCGGCAGCATTTATGTCTATATGTTTCATTTAATAGTGGCCCTGGTTCTAGTTGTCTTGACGATGTACCCACCAACACCGTCCATGAACCCCACCTCTTCAAAGTCAAACTACCTGGTCAGGTGTATGACGGAGATGCTCAGTGCAGAGTGGCGTACGGACCAAAATACTTACACTGCAAACAAAAATTAGTAAGTTTTACTTTGATTTTTGATGTTAGTGTGCTTTTCATGCTGCTGGACCTTCACAACTTCCAGACCTCTGTACTTTAGCTCCCGTCAATCACGAAATTGCAAAAATAGACTAAAGAAACACAAGACTATACGCCTGCCGCTTTTGGAGTTGTCGGACTAGCAGAAACAATACAGTGCTCTTATTTATTATTGAATAGATTGTAAACTCGTACTTATATAGAATTAATTATTGTTGCTCGTCAGTACCTTGCATGTACAGATAATAAAAGCTATATATATACATCTTATGCATTCATACAAACTTCATATTCACTGTTTAGTCATCTTCTTGACAACATTGACTGAGTATTTTTTCAAATGTCTTTTTGCGTCGAAAGTCTGATTGTGGCTCTCTTTGGTGCTCGACTGGAGGAGCGACGTGCCATAGTTCTATAGCACCACCAATGGATGGTACGAAATGTGGAGAAAGACATGTAAGTAGAACAAGCTACGAGTAAATATATTCAATGCTTTAAGATTGGCAAGAATTAGCCTTCTTGAAATAGTTAGTCATTAAAAATGATGGCTGGTCCATGGTGGATGGTATATAATGTTGTTATTGTTTGTTAGTGGTGTATCAAGGGAGAGTGTGTAGATGATGGCTGGTCCATGGTGGATGGCATATAATGTTCTTGTTATTGTTTGTTAGTGGTGTATCAAGAGAGAGTGTGTTGATGATGGCTGGTCCATGGTGGATGGTATATAATGTTGTTATTGTCTGTTAGTGGTGTATCGAGGGAGAGTGTGTAGATGATGGCTGATCCATGGTGGATGGTATATAATGTTGTTATTGTTTGTTAGTGGTGTATCAAGAGAGAGTGTGTTGATGATGGCTGGTCCATGGTGGATGGTATATAATGTTGTTTTTCTTGTCTGTTAGTGGTGTATCAGGGGAGAGTGTGTTGATGATGGCTCACCCATGGTGGATGGTGCCTGGAGCTCCTGGTCTTACACCAAATGTTCTCATTCGTGTGGAGGTGGAGTCCAATCTAAGACAAGAACCTGTACAAATCCAAAGTAAGTGCAGTGGAAATATCGAGAAAGAGTGCATACAATATATCTGTGAAAATCGACCTTTGTAATAAATTAGAAAAAAAATCAGTAGACCGTATATCTACAAAACTTTGCACTAATTAGTACGATTTTGTTAGTTGTCTTTTTCACGCATATATGGTATGGACTCTACTGATTGGTGTATTATTCATTGCATTGATGTTGCATGCGAGGACACACTGCGTCATTTCTCGTGTCGCATCGTTTACCTGTCCCCTGCCCATTTTGATATAAATCGGATGGATCGCAAGAAATATGGGCAAAGCATATCAAAATCCTTTTTTCTTCCTATTTATCATTTTAGACCAGAACGCGGTGGAATGAAATGTGAAGGCATCGATAAAACAGGATGGAGAATATGTAATTCACAAGTAAGTTTTCAATTTTACAGGACCTTCTTGAAAATCATAGTGAAGAAGCATCCTGTTTAAATATTATATCGTAAATAAATAAATTTTAAACGTTTTCCAATCCTTCTCAAGTATAATTATACGCGACTAAACAATTAACTGCACTTCTGGGTCTGTGATTTGGCTTCCGTTAATAAAATAGATTTCTACCCTTAAACCATTTTAACACCAATTGGCAGAATCTAACTCATCGTATGCCGTCACGTTAATATATATGTCATGGTTCTCAGTAAAGTACTCTCTTACAAGGAAAAGGGGTTGACGATAATAACGAACTTGATTGTGATAAGATTGTTGATAATGGTGACGATTTTTGTTGAAGCGATGTTGATTATGGTCATAATGTTGAAGACGGGGATGGTTGTAGTTATGAGGTGATGTTCATAATTATGATGATGATTACGGTGATGATGCTGTCAGGGAAGATGATATTGATGGTGATATTGTTGATGATGATGAAGTTGATACATGATGGTGATGATAATAATGATGATGATGATGATGATGAAGAAGATGATGATGAGGATGTTGGTGGTGAAGATCATGGTGAAAATCACTTTTATGACAATTCTGTATTTCTCTCAAGCCATGTTCAAGAGGAGACAAAACATCACGCACACGTGAATGCGAAGCTTTCAGTCCAAGTTACAGATCATATATAATGTCTAAAGGTCAGAAAAAATAGTCTCTCGAATATTTCTCAAATTTATAGATATTTATATATTTTTTAATATAAGGTCAAATTTGGACACCGTTGATTCTGGTTTTTACTTGCAACTCAACCGACGAATAAATAACACCTGATAGTAACAGCTATCCTATCACGCGTGTTGTGATTGGCTGGAAATGATCATGAGTAGATCAGAGCAAACGCGCGGGAATTTTGGAGTACGCGCGCGCGATGACGTCAAAATCGTTTTCAATCGTTCCAAAAGCTCTTTCCATAAAAAAATCTAAAATGTGTTTTAGAACTTAGACTGGGTTGCTCAAGCTAGTAGATAATTTTGTTTACTCTTAGTTTTGAATGGAAGAATCCAATCCAATTTCCATTATTTTCAAGGAGACTCCTTAAGTATCAGAGCTTTTCAGTCAGTTACTCCGTCTGGTATCAAGAACATGGAATGCTAAAAAAACATTTGTAGTTCAAGAATACAACTACCATCCCTGCATGGCTTGTAACTAATCAGTGCGGTCACAGGAAAAAAGAAACTTAGAAAATTCTTAAACTCCTAGAATTTGCATTGTTTACATTCATTTTTGGCTCATATCATTTGATGTTACTATCACCTCCTTTGAAATATTACGTTGTTTTAGATGGGAGTATTACAATTTGTAAGCCTAATGCTGTTGCTAAAATACTAGGTGAGTGTGAAATTGGAGGTTGCGGCGTTGCGTTGATTTCGGGTTTTCTTTCCCGGTGTTGCGATAATCGAGACGACCTAATGTCTTCCTCCGAGCTAGTTGTCGCCAAGGTGGGAATAGATCATAGAATTTTTGCTGTCCATGAAAAAGAGCGACTCTTTTATACCGACATTTTCTTGATTGCAGATCCTTGTACACTACGATGCATGTCAGGAGCAACACTTTACTCAAAGGGGAGAGTGACAGACGGCACAAGATGTAGTGGAGATCCTAACGTCAAGGATGTCTGTGTGCAAGGAATATGTAAGGTAGAGATACAAAAGCGACCAAATTAACACATAAATATTAACTCATTTGGGTATCCAGAGGGGAAGTTCTGTGGAGTCAGAGAAGCCAATCACTGGACAATAGCTGGACCCATGTCTTTTTGAAAATCGTGTACTACTCCTGAATTCTGTAGATCTAGATGATAGTTTTAATGAACATACACCGTTCTCATAATGGTTGACGACCGCACAAAACGAGGTAACCCAGTCATCTTGCAAAGCTGAGCAAGGCTGCTTATTCAGAATAAAGGTGGATAGCGCGAATTCAGGTCAAAACAAGAGGTAAATTTCTATACTTATCTCTTATAAAAGCATTTAATGTACTTCTATATCTTGTATTGTGAACTAATGACTGGGTGATCTTGTTTTCGTGCCCTTTCCAGTCATTATGAGAACGGTGCAACTACTGGGTTCGCGTTGATTCAGCGTCTCTCTGATGTATTACTTACGGATGATTTCACTCCAGAATGTCGGTTGTGATAACATACTGGAATCAGGCGTCAAATTCGATCGATGTGGAAAGTGCAATGGTGATGGCACCAGTTGTAAGGTGGTGAAGGGCGTTTACACAAAGGACTACAGACGATGGGGTAACACAACTATATTTTTTTACAATTTTTCCATCAGCTCATACCGTTTTTAAAGATATTAGTACTTCTTTTATTACCGATTAATACTTTTAGTTACCTCTACAATTATACAATATACAATTATGGAAAAACAAGAAAAATGGGAAATCAATATCAGAAACAAAAACCAACTCGTGATGTTATTCACAGAAACGATATTTGATTGGTTAACCAACAACAGTCAATTGAGTTGAGACTCTCAGAACAATTTCAAGGTCAAACAATCAGAATTGTGGATTCGGCATCATATTTTTGAATAGCATTTCCCATGATTCTGCCAAAAGAACCCATGAATTTTCCATTCTTTAAATTTATCGTAAATGCTACTAGTTGTGAACTCACGGTGGAATTCTAGTTCGTTCAACACGAATTTTACTGTAAAATAGTTGACCCATAATCCCTTTCCGGGAACATTTCACTCAGCTGGAGTGTTGCCCGACAGTATATTGTCGGATTGATAGAAGTCCAAATCGTCAGTAAAGTTATAACCTTACTTTTGAACAGGAAGAAAAAAGGTTAGCATGTATAAGAATAAATAGTTGGTTATGGTACATATCAGTGTTGAGTAATGCGGTAAGTGACATACAACTCATTCATCGTAGGTTTGTCGAATGCAGATCTAATGTTTACTGTTCCTGCTGGGTCTACACATATCTATGTAGCAGAGAGAGCTAAAGATCATAACTTGATAGGTTAGTACTCGGGGTATTTTTGGTCAAATATTCCTCTCAAACTATCTTTACATCCAAATCTCAAATCCTGTTTTTTCCCCACCCATTTTTTTCATTTATTTTTGCCTTCATTCCTTCCTTTACTGATTTCTTTCCTCATACACTCGTTTCTTCTATTGCTGATTCTTTCATTAGTTCATTTCTTCCTTCCTATCTTCATTTACACATCCTTCCAATGTAACAAAACTATGCCTTTTGTATTATCTTCTTAATATTATATCACCATATATATAATTGCAAGTTCTCTCGATTTCCAGGAATCCAAGATTCCAAAGGAGAGTTTTTGTTTAAGTTTCCTTCGAACAGTCGTAACATACAAGCAGTGGGAACGACAGTCATGTACCACAGTTCACGATCAATAGACAAAGAGTTTTATTATATCAAAGGACCCACTACAGCTGAGCTTCGATTTGTGGTAAAGCTAAATGAGTATTTGAAAAGTAACTTCACTATAAAAGTCTAATGGAGCTAGAAGGGTTAATGTCTTATTGTCAGTCATTGCTATTATTGTATGTGTTTCTTCTAGTTTGCTCATTTCGAATATAAAAACCCAAACAGAGGCGTCGATTACCAATACTTCGCGCCTGGCAAGTCAGTTGTAACTGCTGACCAAGTTGGTTGGAAATCTTCACCATGGAGTGAATGTTCACAATGGTGTTCTGGAGGTAAACATCCTAATTATCAAATAATTAACACACATAAAAAGAATTCCGGTTCTAAAAGGAAAATGTTCAGTTCTATAAATATTTTTTCTTACTTTTTCTTCATTACAGGATTCGTTGTGCAATACTTTAATTGCCAGGTGGAAGTTAAACCACTGAGCACACTTTACTTTAGCGGTTTTTGAGAGCAGTTGGACTCGGAATACTCTCTATAGGTTGGACGCAAAAATACTGTATATAGCTGGTTTCTTTTGACATATAAAACCAAAATTGCGGCTTTGTAGTTTGTTAGTTTGTAGTTTCATTCTTTTGGGGAGTGTTGCAAAGCAGCTACATATAAATGGAATACCACTAGTCTGCATGTGATACGAGCAATGGAGGGTATTTTTTCTGTTAAACAAAACTCTAGTCAAAATACCACGTTGACAGCATCCTGATTGTTTGATGTCGTTTTTAGGTGTTCAGAACCGAACAGTGGAGTGCATAAGGCTTGACTACACAAAGTCATTTGTCAACGAAGAAGTCTGTAAACAAAAAGAAAGAAAACCCGAGAGGATTCAAGCATGCAACACATCTCCTTGTAGGGCAGAGTAAGTGTCTTGTGAGAAGGCGTGTTTGTATTCCTAAATTAGAGCGAGCATTCTGGACCTCCGCATGAGCCAACGTATCGATATTAGATAAGAAACAAAGGAAAGCCAAAAGGAACCTGGCATTCTTCCTCAATAGAAATTGGTTCTTCTCAACACTTCTTGAGTGTTCTGCCACACACCACTTTCTATTTTGTTTCATAAAATACAAATAGACTTCTTTGTGATTTGAATGACTAACAAGAAAGAGAGCTTGCGTTGCAATTGTGTACTTTCATAAAAGCATGCGCACCTACGCGCGCCGCAACCAGAAATACGAATTTGTAATAACAGTTACAGTTTTTCTAATGTTTTTTTTTTGTGTGTATATGAGATGTTTGATGACTTGCTGAAAATTTAGTCTACTTTAGTAATATACCCTATACCACACAACTGTAAATAACCTATAAAGGAATGTTCGAATATTTAGAACATTGAAATAAACTGTACTTTGCAGGTGGCTCAGAGATGCTCCATGGAGACCATGCTCCAAAACCTGTGGCAAAGGCACTCAAATACGACGTACGATTTGCCGTGAGCAAATCGCTAAGGACATCTACCGTACTGTGCCTAATAACAGATGTAGAGGTAGTCCACCCGGACCAATGTCAAGGGACTGTAACATGATTGATTGTCTTCCAGAATGGACTCCACTTGAATGGGGAAAGGTACGTTCTAACTGTTCTAGCTTTTCCGCAGTGTTGCTTGGTAAGATCTCTGATATCGTCTGGCAGCCCTGAGACATTCACTACTCTTAAAAATACCATACTTTTCTAGAATGTTTGGGCTTAGGCTTGAATCAAGGATTTAATTGTTTTTTTGTTCTAATTTCTGCTTTTTTTTCTATTTCAAAAGTAAGGCTAATAAAACCCGCACGCTCAAAAAAATTATGGTATTTTTAACAGAAGCAAATTGAACGCAACGACGTTGGCACCGCCAAAGAAGGATCCTCTTGATCAAGATTTCAAGTATCCACTCCTATGCCGGCGTATAGCCAACGCAAAACTTTATGTATTTACTCCTATTGATAACTGCGCGCGTTTTTGTTCATGCAGAGTCAAATTTCATAACATAACTAATCACTTAGTATTTGCTTACTTTATGCTCTTTAGTTTGGGTATGCCAAGAGACTGAAAATTTATCTTGGTTTTTTTTTTTTTTTTTTTTTTTTTTTTTTTTTTATTCATAAACTACAAATTGGTTTTGTGTGTTTAT